GCATAGGATGGGATAGTTCTAAGTAAGCTGGTATTGCTTTGCGGTTAGAGGGTTGGTCTGGGGCTAGAGACGCTTGGATTAAAACCTCACTTGGCTGTGAATTCCCAGGCTGTGGTCACACACGCTAAATAATCCACTTTCAGTGCACTTTCCAACTGGGTTTTACTGTGTGAACTGGTAAGATCCAGTTGGAAAGTGGATTCTTTAGTGTGCGTGACCGCAGCCCCAGTGGGATGTCTTGGGCCCATTGCTCTCTCTCCATTTTTCTTACCTTGAAGGATGGTTGTGAGGATAAAACAGGGACAGAAGAACATGTGTACGGCCCGAAGATCCTTGGAGGAAGGGTGGTGGGATGGACATTTGATTTGATTTATTGGATTTGTATCTCACTCTCCCCTGTGTCCAAGCTCAGAGCGGGTAACATCATCAAGAAAAACATTTAACAGTTCAATATTAACATTCCTAGTGCATAAGTAGAATAAAATACCTAATAATGGCCCTGGTCACACGGGCCGGAAAACGTGCGGGGGGGGCGGGAGCGTGGCTGTTTGCCCCAGAGCAAAGTAAAGCATGGCAGCCCGATCACACGTCCTGTCGAGGTCCCGTGGTTAGGCCGTTAGGTGCTGATCACACGGCTATCCTGAAGCGTGGCAAAGAAATGGGAAATTTTTTCCCCTCACCGACGTTTGTGCATGCGCCGTTGGGCGTTTGTGCGCATCCTGTGGAGACTAAAAAAAACATCGGTTTGCAACAGGACATGGACGGGCGCTGGATGCCACGGGATTCAAGCAGAAACTCGATCAGACGCCCGCCCCTGCCCCACGGTTTCTGGAAACTAGTGCGCTCTCCGCAGTAGTTTTTTACTCCGCATCTTCGGCGGGAAGCCATGGGTTAGCCACGGGTGCACTACGCTTCCCAGATGTTGTGGTGTGGTCGCGCACCAAAAATCCGCCTGTCATTCATGTCTTTAGTGCGGCAACGTCTCCGTGTGAACGGGCCAATATATTATAAAATACATAATACTGTAAACCAGCAACATAATTAAAAGATGACATAAAAACTCATGGGGGAGTCTGATCCGAAAGGAGAGGGGAGGAGGAGGAGGAGGAGGAGGAGGCCAATCAGAGATGCAACCCATCGCCGTCCTCAGCCATAGGCCCAGTGGAACAACTCTGTTTTACAGTCCCCATGGAACTGCATCAGATCCCTCAGAGCCCAGATCTCAGCTAGAAGAGTGTTCCGCCAGGCCGGGGCAAGGGGTCACCAGCAGGTTTTGGTCACTAGAGTGTAATGCTCTTTGGGGGGAGTATACCAGGAGAGGCAGTCCTGTAGGTATGCTGGTCCCAGACCATTTAGGGCTTTGAAGGTTAGCACCAAAACCTTGAAACCTGATCCAGTCTTCAATCTGGAGCCAGTGCAGCTGGTAGAACACTGGTTGACTGTGTGCTCTAACGGGTGATTATGTCATGGGACACATGAGTTCTCAGAGTTTTCAGAGGGTGGCCGCGTTTGGTCTGCAGTAAAACAATGAGATGCAAGTCCACTGCCCCAAAGCGTTTCTCCCCTTCTCTAATCTATCTGATTACAATGTAGGGTTGTGCTTTTGTATCCTGAGTCCCTTCTTTGCAAGAACCTTCCCACCTCCGGGATCTTCATTCCAGCTTGTATCTGATGAAGTGAGCTTTGACTCCCCAAAGCACATACCCCAAAAACCCTGTTGGTCTCTAAGGTGCTACTGGACTCGAACCTATGAGTTTTCGTCTCAGGTTAAAAACTTTACCCACATAACATAGCTACACCTGTACATGCATTTGCTGTCTTCAGCATGAGTCCCCAGATTATCAGTCAGCTCAGTTCCAGCAAGTGTACCTTGGGCTGCAATTTAAATTTTCGCTTATGCATTAAATAATTTTTTCAATTCAATTCAATTTATTATGGGTCTATATGACCGAAGTCTTGACCAACAGAGAATGCAAAAGGGGTAAAATAGGTACATAAAATTGACATAGAATATGACAAGTACATAGTCACAATCAGTAAACATATAAAACCCAGGCATAGCCCAGAGAATTAAAAGAACCTAACTACACTTGGGGCGGAGCCAACTAACTAAAATCCTCCAAAGATTAAAATCGGTACAGGTGTTTGCAGAGATGGTAAAGCTTTCAGTGTTTCTTGAGAGCAGCAACCTTAGCCAGGAACCGTGCCATGTTAGCTGTTATCAGTCCAGGAAGTAGAGTTCTTGTGTTAAACTCCATGGAACTCTGTAAGAGTTTGTCCATCATCGTCCCCCTCCCCTTCTATGAAACTGAGGGACTTGTCACTGCATCTGTTCGGATACCTACATTCCGTTGCCCTCCTTTCTCTGTTGTTTCACAACTCCTGCTTAAATTCCAGTTTGCAGCAAGTTCCTTGGAGCAAGGAAGAAATGCCTTTGTTGAAAACGCCTTCAGCTTACAGATGCTGGTGCTGTATGGATTGGTTCCGTTGTTATGTAGTGTCGTCTTCAGTACATTGGTGTCAGATCTGTGTTCTGATATGTGACACAGACCCTTTTGCTCTTTTTGATGAATGAAGGATGTTCACTGACCCTACATCCCATGTTTCTCAGTGGAACCCCCTTATAACATCCATAAAACTGTGGCAAGTTAGTACTGCCGTAGAGAGATGCCGTAGGAGCTGCGGTGGCTCAAGTGGTTAAGACGCTGAACTGCAGGCTGTGGAAGGTCGGTAGTTCAGCAGTTCGAGACCCGGGTTGCCGCATGACGGAGTGAGCTCCCGTCTCTAGTTCCAGCTCCTGCCAACCTAGCAGTTCGAAAGCAAGAAATTGCAAGTAGATAAATAGGTACCACTTCGGTGGGAAGGGAACAGCGTTCCGTGCGCCTTGGTGTTTAGTCATGCCGGCCACATTGTTTCACAACTCCTGTTTAAATTCCAGTTTGCAGCAAGTTCCTTGGAGCAAGGAAGAAATGCCTTTGTTGAAAACGCCTTCAGCTTACAGATGCTGGTGCTGTATGGATTGGTTCCGTTGTTATGTAGTGTCGTCTTCAGTACATTGGTGTCAGATCTGTGTGCTGATACGTGACACAGACCCTCTTGCTCTTTTTGATGAATGAAGGACGTTCACTGACCCTATATCCCGTGTTTCTCAGTGGAACCCCCTTGTAACATCCATAAAACTTTGGCAAGTTAGTACTGCCGTAGAGATGCCGTAGGAGCTGCGGTGGCTCAAGTGGTTAAGACGCTGAACGGCAGGCCGCGGAAGGTCAGTAGTTCAGCAGTTCGAGACCCGAGTGTGCCGCATGATGGAGTGAGCTCCCAGTTCCAGCTCCTGCCAACCTAGCAGTTCGAAAGCAAGAAATTGCAAGTAGATAAATAGGTACCACTTCGGTGGGAAGGGAACAGCGTTCCGTGCGCCTTGGTGTTTAGTCATGCCGGCCACATGACCACGGAAACGTCTTCGGACAGCGCTGGCTCTTCGGCTTTGAAACGGAGATGAGCACCACAACCGTAGAGTCGGATTCGACTGGTTTTCGAGCAAGGGAACCTTTACCTTTAGGGATGGATCAAGATGGGTAGCTGTGTTAGTCTGTCTGTAGCAACAGAAAATAGCAAGAGTCCAGTCGCTCCTTAAAGACTAAAAAGATTTTTGACAGGGTATGAGATTTTAGAGCCACTGCTCACTTCTTCAGTATCTGGTTACAGTCATCCCCACGGCAGTAGCAAAGAGGGAGAGTCCAGTAGCACCTTAAAGAATAACAAAATTTGTGGCAGGGGATGAGCTTTCGTGAGTCACTGCTCACTTCTCTATGTGAAGAAGTGAACAGTGACTTAGGAAAGCTCCTACCCTGCCACAATTTTTCTTAGTCTTTAAGGTGCTACTTTAAGGTGCTCTCACTCTTTTCTGCTGCCATGGGGATGTGACTGTAACCATGGTTTGCCAACCAGCTCCTTCAGTCTGTCTTTACAGCAAAACCATGATTTGCAAGACTCCATGGGTAATATGAGGAGCTGCGGTGGCTCAAGTGGTCAAGACGGTGAACTGCAGGCTGTGGAAGGTCGGTAGTTCAGCAGTTCGAGACCCGGGTTGCCGCATGACTGAGTGAGCTCCCGTCTCTAGTTCCAGCTCCTGCCAACCTAGCAGTTCGAAAGCAAGAAATTGCAAGTAGATAAATAGGTGCCACTTCGGTGGGAAGGAAACAGCGTTCCGTGCGTCTCGGTGTTTAGTCATGCCGGCCACATGACCACGGAAACGTCTTCGGACAGCGCTGGCTCTTCGGCTTTGAAACGGAGATGAGCACCGCAACCCTAGAGTCGGATTCGACTGGCTTTCGAGCAAGGGAACCTTTACCTTTACCTTATGGGTAATATGTGGGGGGATTGGACTGAGCTGGGGTGGGGGAGAGGCCCATGTCATCTCAAGACATTTTGCTTTGCAGGGAACTAACTCTTAGTATCTGTGCCAAGCCTGACTCTTTAATAGAATGTCTGTATCCTTGTTCTTTAAACTGGGACACAATATGCCCTGCTGTGTACTTAGCCAGAGCTGCAACAATAAGTTCCAGACCTTGGCCTCTTGTCTTGTACTCTTCCTCCTTTCCCCGTTCTCCACTCAGTTAAAATATATATATCCCACCTTTTGGAAAGTTCAAGGCATGCAACCAATCATATAAGGCACGAAAACAATTTAAAAGCAGCAAGCTGTAAGTTCTCCATGATGGCTCTGTCAGTTTACTCCAGTGCACACAACCTCTTTTGCCCCGACTTGTCATTCTGAGGACCAGTTGGATGGCCCAGGCTAATCTGATATTGTTGGATCTCGGAAGCGAAGTAGGGTCGGTCCTCGTTAGTACTTTCCCCTCTGCTGTTTTAGCAAACCCATGTTGGAACAGAAAAGATTCGGCTCAAAACCACATTCAAATACCCCAGGGCGACGCCGTATGGCTGCAAAGTCACCCTTGAATGGCCATAAATCTATGCAGAAGGTACCATAAAACCTGATGATCAAAGAACGTGAAAGCGGCATGCAGCGTAGAGGGTACCATAAAATCCGATGATCAAAGAAAGTGACAGCAGCATGCAATGCAGAGGGGAATTTCTGTTCCACCTTGGGTTTGGAGGAGGAGAAGGAGATTGGATTTATACCCCGCCCTTCACTGAGAGTCTCAGAGCAGCTTGCAAACTCCTTTCCCTTCCCCTCCCCACAACAGACACCCTGTGAGGGGGGTTCTCCCAGATTAGAGTCCGCACACTTAACCACTACACCAAACTGGTATAACAACAGAGGGAAAAGCCAATGCAGAATCCGTTCTGAGCTATCCCAGTTCAAGCACCAGAAACTGAAGGGCTGACGACATTTCAGACTTGGGGATCCACTTCGGCGGAGTGTTTGTCCATCTGCTCAGCTTAGGGAGACATCAGAGATGTGCACAGAACACTTCGTTTTCTGTTTAGAGGGAGGTTCTCCCAGATTAGAGTCCGCACACTTAACCACTACACCAAACTGGTATAGCAACAGAGGGAAAAGCCAATGCAGAATCGTTCTGAGCTATCGACATTTCAGACTTGGGAATCCACTTCGGCGGAGTGTTTGTCCATCTGCTCAGCTAGGGAGACATCAGACGTGCACAGAACACTTTGTTTTCTGTTTAGTTGTTGTTGTTGTTGTTTTAAGAAAACCTTTATACCCATTCTGGATGTTTTACTACTTTTGGGTTTCATTTCAGTGGGAGCCACATCTCTACTGCTTAACCTTTTTTCTTCTTCCTAATAAATGGGGGAAATCTAATTTTTTAAAATGGAGATGGAGTGTGCAGGCAAAAAGAGCTCCACCCTGCCCTGTTTGCTGTTACGCTCCAGTGTGTGGAGAAAATCACAGCATGGTTCTCCTCTCCGTTTTACCCTCATATCAGCTGCCCCGTGAGGTAGGCTAGGCTGCAAGAAAGGGCCGCTCCTAACGTCACCCAGCAAGCCTTTGCGGCAGAGCAGGGATTTGAATTGAAGTCCTGGTCTGGTAGTCTAACCACTTCATCACACTGCCTCACCTGTTCAAAGCTTTCTTTAGACAAGAATTAGGTGGTGCCTGTCTGTCCTCTCTCCCGCCTTTCAGTTAGGGGTGATAGTAGCTGGGTGGCGAGGCTTGTGTTGGTGGGGCAAGGGCATGGCTACTTCCAGGTGGAATTAGACTCTGAAGAAATTATTATCCTCATTGGTCTCCCACCTAAGCCCCACCCACCTCACAGGGTGTCTGTTGTGGGGAGGGGAAGGGAGAGGAGTTTGTAAGCCGCTCTGAGACACCTTTGGGTAGTGAAGGGTGGGGTATAAATCCAATCTCTTCTTCTTAGATTGTTGTCTACACAAGTCTCTCGTATCTCACCTGGGTTGGCCTTGCCTTTCATTAGGGAGGGGAAACATCTGCCCCCTGTCCAGTCCGATGGAATAGCTGTCCACCTGCTCAGAAACCTATAGGTCTCTTCTGCAGGTGTGCTGCTAGAATGCTGCTGTATACCTTAGCCTATGCTTCTACCCACTTCTGTCCTTACATTCCAGAAGATATAATCAATCTCTCTCAATCTCCCTCCCCCCCGCCCCTTGCTGTTGAATACGTGTCTGTATCGTCTCTCTCTGTATTCATCCTTTCCTTCACCCAGTCAGCAGCTTCCATCTTCCAGAGAGCACAAGCAAACTTTTAGCCCCCGGGAGCAGTGTTTCCTAACACTTAGGGTTAGGATAGGGTTAGGAGTTGGGCTAAGGCTAGCATTGGGGTTAGGTCTAGGGCTAGGGTTAGGGCTAGGGCTTGGGTTAGGGCTAGGGCTAAGTGTTAGTGTGAGCTAGCTCACAGTTTTTTAGCCTCCGGCTCACACAGTTTTATCTTAGCTCAGGAAGGATGGGCTCCAGAGCCAACTAATTTCTGCAGCAGCCCAATCGTTCGCTCACAACCTTAATGCCAGTAGCTCACAAAGTAGAATTTTTGCTCACAAGACTCCACAGCTTAGAGGGAGTATTGCCCGGGAGGCATGTGCCACTCCAGAATATCAATCAAGTTAGACTTTTTTCTGCTTATGTATTATAGAGATCAGACAGTGATTAGCAGGGAGTGGAAACGCAGTGACCATGAGTGTGATCTTCTTTGGTAGCAACATTTGTTAAACCCTCCGGTTGGAAAATGCCCCTTGTCTGTTTGATCACCTGCTCAGTCACTCTGTCCACCCGCTGTCCTCAGCTCAAACAGCTGCAAGAAGCAAGACAGGTGCCCGGATAGTGGTAGCTTCCACAGGTAGCTAATTGTCATACATTTTAGATTGTTGCCTTTAGTGCAGTAAACAGTAGGTGTTGTTCAGTTTGGAATCTGACTAGTTATCTTCACAAACGCACGCAAGTCCCCAGAAGATTAGTAGACCTGAGCTTAACTGTTAGGCTTCGAGTTATTAATTCTCTGTATATTTTTCAGTAGACGAAGGGCCTCTGGGAGCCCGGGTGTGCTTGCTAAAAGAAATAAAAACGATGCTTAATTACAGCCATCCTTCCTCTGTCTTAAATCTCCCCACCCCCCCACCCCCGGTAACAAAATATTGCTTCTAACGTGTCTGTGGGAGACTTGAGTGTGTTGTATATCATTGCACCATCTTCTAGTTGTTTGTATGGTTGCAGTTTTGTGTATGCGTGTTAGATAGAAGATGGCAAACCGTCTAGAAGAAATTTTTTAGATCAGGAGCATACTAAAGGTGGTACAAACCTTTAATGCATTTGCAAGTTGCACTTGTGTTGCTCGCACATCACCTCTGCAGAGAAGTTGCACCTCGGGAAAAGCAGAAGTCTGAGCAGATCCTTAGGGTTACCATCAAAGTTCTGCTTGAGATGAAATCCAAGGCAAATTGGGAGAAGTATCTGGGGATTTTCGAGGGAAGCATGAGGGCTTCTTTGGTGGTGTTTCTTTTTAAAAAAATAAGTCTGTGGAACGCAACACCTCTCTCTCGGGCCTTCCCCACAGCGGGTCAGATCTGTATTACTATCTGGGAACCCCAACCCGAAATAAACCTTATCTGTTGAGGCACTAATTAGCATATAGGAATTCTGTTCCATTTTATCAGATGTATTTTAACTGGATTTTATTGTTTGTCTTCTGTGTTGGATGGAACCTGCCCCGAGCCTTCAATGCGGGGAGGGCAGGATACCAATCTAACAAAATAAATACATCTCGTGAAGCTACAGCAAAGCAGGTTGGCGATCAAGCCATGGTAATAGGTGGTCTCCGCCTTCTGCAGACTGTTCGGCTTGAGCGTTTACGGCTAGCCAAGAAGGTGTGTGGGGGGGCACAGCCTTGGCCAACAAAACCCCTCCCCGCCATTAGAACAAGGTGGATTTATAGCTTCCTGATCTGCCGAAACATTGGTGAATTTTCCAGGAAGAGATGCTTAGACAAGACGAAGGAATGTTTCTCTTGGGGGAGCATCCCGCAGACGGTGAACTGACTTATTTTCTTCCTCCCTTCTCGCCGCAGGTATACAAATGCTCTCAGTCCAGCCAGACACCAAGCCGAAAGGTTGTGCTGGCTGCAACCGTAAGATCAAAGACCGGTATCTTCTAAAGGCCCTGGACAAGTACTGGCATGAGGACTGCCTGAAGTGTGCCTGCTGTGACTGCCGGTTGGGAGAGGTGGGCTCGACCTTGTACACCAAAGCCAACCTTATCCTGTGTCGCAGAGACTACCTGAGGTAAGAACGATGTATCTCCCTTTGCATGCCTTTAGCAGTACACAAAACACCACCATCTTCTTTGGCTCTCTGCTCTTGTGCAGTGCACTGCATAACCCACACAAGGCAGGCCATATGTGACTGTTGCTACGGATACCCTGCCGCATGAGTATGGCAGGCATGCAGATTGTCTTGGGGGGGGGGAGTACATAATCTATAAACAGATTCTCAGTCATCGTCTCGTGTGTCCGTATCGTAATAAACACTCGTGCTTTTCCACATGTGCCGAGTTTAGAGAATCTCATGCGGGACTGTTCCTTGCATTCTTGCTGTGCTCTGCAAATGGGGGAGGCAGGCTGGGATTGGAAATGACTTGGCTGGAAGGTTCTTGTCTTTTGATGGGCTTTTATAGACCAGACTATCGCATAGTAAAGCCAGTTCTTGGATTGCATCGCTTTGTACCACAGGTAGGGGATTGCAAAACCGAATACTCCCCTGACAACAAGGCAAGAAATCCTGTTATGCCTTTTGAAAAGAAAACACTTGCATGCCTGGAGCAAGACAAGGCTAGAACTCTTCCTCCCTTCTTACAGAAATGCCCATTTAGGGTTATGATGCTACCAGTTTTGGTTAGGTGTGAGAGAAGCCATCTTGGCTGGCTTCAAAAACTGTTTCCTACGTCTCTCACCTAATTTCCTGTAAGGAATATTACTAAGGCTGTGACCATGCAAGTTTCCCGAGGCTAGCTAAATCAGCTATTCACCCTCAAGTAGCAGATTAGTAGCGACAGTTTCTAAGCATTTCCCACTTAGGTCGACTTGTTGGCAATGCTCCCTCCAAGATGTGGAGCCTTGTGAGAAAAAATTCTACTTTGTGAGCTACTGGCATGAAAGTTGTGAGCGAGCGACTGGGCTACTGCATAAATTAGATTGCTCTGGAGCCGTCCTTCCTGAGCTAAGGCAAAAATGTGTGAGCCGGAGGCTAAGAAACTGTGAGCTAGCTCACACTAACTCAGCTTAGAGGGAACACTGCTTGTTGGGACAAGTGGAAGCTATTGTTTAACGTTAAGATTGTTGGTGGGGTTCTCTTGACTTAATTTGTTGCTGTGTTGTCCTGTTGAGATTCTCTAGTGACATATCTCCAACATGCATTGCTATAACTTTATTTAAAAAGTCCTTTGGGTGGAGAGCACGCTCATCTTCTCAAGGCAGGAACCTTGTGAGGCTATATCTTGGGTGCCTCCATACTTGGCAGATAGTCAGGGCTGGTGTTAGGGCATGGCACGGTGGGGCACCCACCGAGGTTCCAAGGTTGGCCAAGGGCCTACCCCTAACTGGAGATGTTTCATCACACTCTCTTTTTTCCCAGTGAAGCAAGCTGGACTCAAATATATTGTGCTGTGCTGCCTCTTCCATGGACCACTCCCAGATGGCCCAGAGACCCATGTGATGTCACAGTGGCTTCCTTGCTCTATAGAGCTACTAGCACGGATTCAGCTAAGAAGAGGCTAATCGCAGTGGGAGAAGGAACTGCAGTTAGTTGGCAAGTGGTGATGATTGGGGGGGGGAATTGTCAAAAGAGCTATGATGGAGATGACTGTCGTCGACACTTTGTACAGCTCCAAGGGCTTTTAAAAACATGTAGCCAGTCCCTCCTGAGGATCGTGGTAGGGGTTATCTAAAATAATTTCCAAGTTTCTGAAGCAGCAATAATTGGGATGACCTTTCATTTCTACTGATGGATTTGGTGGCCGTGGTCCTAGCATTAATTGTGGTACAAATAATATCTCCTGACTTGAAGGAAGAAGAAGAAGAGGAGGAGATTGGATTTATACCCCGCCCTTCACTCAGCGTCTCAGAGCGGCTTACAAACTCCTTCCCCTTCCCCTTCCCTTCCCCTCCCCACAACAGACATCCTGTGAGGTAGGCGGGGCTGAGAGAGCTCTTTCAAGAACTGCTCTTTCAAGAACAGCTCTGACAGAACTACGGCTTGCCCAAGGTCATCCAGCAGCTGCAAGTGGAGGAGTGGGGAATCAACCCTGGTTCTCCCAGATTAGAGTCCGCACACTTAACCACTACACCAAACTGGCTCTCACTACATGGGGGGGGGGGCAGGAGAAATAGACTAAACATCAGCAGTACTTGGTTCATCCTTATATTGCTTAACATGATCTGCATTTTTTTACTTTATGTTAGAAAAAACTAGGAATAAGGCAGGCAGATTTTGATCTCTGCCGTAAGAGAGTCCATTAAAAATGGACAGATATATCGCAGTAAAATGCATTTTGACCCCCCCAAAAATGGACAACATCTTACTGGGATGTGAGAGGTGGGGATCTAGAGAAGAAAGGGCCTGGAAATCCATGGCTGAATCGCTCCCTTATCTGGGAAATAATAGCGGTGGGTGAAGGGTATGCATTGGCGCTTGATTCCAAGGAGCAGCCATGGTGGGCATAGTAAAAGCCCCACTTGCCGACCATCATCCTCCCTACCAGGAGAACATAAACAGAGGCATCTTCCAGAAGTCACGTTGCTTCTGCTGCTTTTTCTCCTCCTCGGCCTCCCCTTCCGTCTACAAGGCAAAGTTTGCTCTTTCCATTCATGGATGGAAATATTCCTAAAGAGCACGTATTTAGCCATCAAGTTGCTGCTGACTTATGGCCCCTGAGTGTTCTCAAGGCAGGAGACTTCAGAGGTGGTTGACCATTGCCTGCCTCTGTGTAGCAACCTTGGACTTTCTTGGTGGTCTCTCATCCAAGCACTACCCAGGCCCAGCCCCTGCTTAGCCCCCAAGGTCTGGTGAGATTGGGCTAGCCTAGGCCACCCAGGGCAGGGCCATGTCTTTATTACTATCTGTTGCCATGATCTACTGGGTGGTGGAAAGTGCTCTCAAGTCACAGTTGACTTATGACAACCCCGTAAGGTTTTCAAGGCGAGAGGTGAACAGAGTTGGTTTGCCATCGCCTGCCTCTGTGTAGCACCCTTGGACTTCCTTGGCGGTCTCCCATCCTTCTACTAACCAGGACTGACCCTGCTTAGCTTTTGAGATCAGACTAGCCTGAGCTATCCAGGTCCAATATTATACCTGTGAAAAAGTGCTCACACTACCAGGTTCTAACTTCCGATCATTTTCCAGATGCCTGTCTCAGGACTTCCTATCACCCATGAGCTCGATAACCTTTCTGAACACTAAAATTCTGTAGATAAGCATAAGAACATAAGAGACGCCAATGTTGGATCAGGCCAAAGGCCCATCCAGTCCAACACTCTGTGTCACACAGTGGCCAGAAATACCAGGTGCCATCAGGAGGTCCACCAGTGGGGCCAGGACATTAGAAGTACAGGAGGATGTCTGATTTTCTCCCCTTCAGGAATCGTTCACCAATGTTTCTCCTGCACTTGGGTTATATGCTCTTGTCTCAAGGCCCTTTCCCACTATAGCCCCCAATCCAAACGGCTGTTAATCTATGCAGATCCTGCGGGTCTCACAAATCTATTGCTGGGGGCAGGAAACACAACCAAGATCCAAGCCTTCTGTTTGACAGGATCCAACCCATTGGGTGTTACTTGGACGAGATTGTCAGAATGGTGAGGGGCACAACCAAATCTTTTTATGTCAAAACACTGACATAGATTAGCAGGTATTCTCCAAACGTACAAATATTTGCTAATTAAATTTGGAGGAGGGTTTAATGGTGGGTTTTTGAAGGTGAGTTATTTTTGGCTGTACGATACAGGTGGGCCCTTTGCAAAGGAGGTAGGCTTGGCATGGGTAGAGAAAGCTCCCCCCTCCCCTTCTTTTTCCAGTTTTCTGAAAAATCCTTTTCAGAATTTGTAGATGTGGGGATGAGCAAGTGTTCCTTGTTCTCTGTCTCTGTCCGTCTCTCTCGCTCTTTCTCTCATCAGTGCTTTTAGTTCTCTGCTTTTTCTTGTGGATTTGTTTGTAGTATCCATGTGGGGTTTGTGTACTTTGGGGGGGCTGATTTATAGGTGCACAAACAGTAAAATTTGTGCATCTTATGGGAGGAAAATCAATGCATGGAAATTAAAGAAAATAGTGCAGAGATAGAATCAAGGATTTTTTTTGTAGGGAAGAAGAAAAATTGAAGTGAGGATTTTCAGGCTGGAACAGCAAAGATGATAAACCTGAGATCCTGCTTGAGGTAATTGTCAGTGATCCTGGCACTGAGGGTGCTGCCCACTGATAGCAGTAAAAGAAAGGAATAAGAGGACACGCGTAGTGGATTATGGTCATGTTTGCAGGTCTGTTTGTAACACTGTAGGGACTGTACAGTATGGCTTGCTCCTGGATACTTTGAACTTCCTTCAGTCTGCTGTCAAAAACCCCAGGATAGTGTGCCTAATGTTTCTGTTGCTCTAAGGATTGCAGGAGCAAATCCATTTGCCAGTTTTTAAAAAAAGGTGTATTAACCCTTTCTGTAGAACTAGAGAGCAAGTAGGGGGGCAACCCCCCCCCCCAGCTTCATGGGAGTTGGATAGCAGGTGCTCATTCAGTGGAGTAACAAGTTTGGTTCTGAGATATTCGCTAGCAGGTAGACCATATATTTTGGTATTAAATTGATGCAGCATGCCTCAGCTTCAGTTGCCAGGTTATGTGTGAATAAGATTTGGTGGCAAAACAATTATGCGTCGGCTTGCTATTGGCCAGATTGGTACTAGGGGTGTGCAAAAAACCAAAATTCGGCCCATTCGGATTCGGCCGAATCAGGCAGAATCAATTTCGGCTGGCAGTAAGACTCCCGCATGTCAGTTTCATCAGTAGGAGCGGATTTGGGAGTCTTTCCCCAGCCCAATGTCAATTTCAGCCCCGTTATATCCTATGGGCCATTGAAGTTAATGGCGAAAACATGGGGTATATTCTGGGGGCTGGAGGGGAGGGGGCTTGAGGGAGAGACTCCAAACTCGCAGGGTAGCTGCTGAAGCCTCTCCCCAAGATACCAACCATGTTTCAAGAGCATTGGACCAGGGGGTCCAATTTTGTGGGCCCCCAAACAGGTTGCC